TTTAGGTAAAATCGCCAACCATTACCCCAAAATTAGTGTACTAAACGGGCCCTTTATAAGAAAATCACTAACAAAATAATTTCTTGTGGTCAGCATGATTTATCAATAAGTTTCAATAAGCTTCGTGTTTTGTAATATCATATTACAAAACAAGAACTATAGGATGTTAGTGATGATTTCTAATACTTGAAAATTTATCTAACATCTAATAATTTAAGTTCTGTTTTATATAATTTAAATTACAAAAACACATTTTTGTTTACTAATTGATTAATTTATTTGCACTAATAAAAAAACCCATAAATAAAAAATGAAACATGTTCATCAAGGAATTTGACCCACATCATACTGTAGGAGTCATCGATTTTGCCATCAAAGAAAAAAAAAATTAAAAAGGTTGCTTATTCCATATCCTCCTTTCCGTCCTGGGTGAGTCCACTCTCTGTTGCTGCTATGACTGATAACAAACTTTGGTTGATTTTATCCAGGTGTTTCAACAATTGAACAGAAACAGTCCATCATTTGCTTGCTTATGGACAAGTTTAGACCAAATTATGGTTAGGGGTTAATAGACAGAAAAGTTGTTGACATTAACATATGACTTCGTATCTACTTGGCTATTCTTTTCTCTTTTTTGGTCGACAAAGTTAATGATAATATTAATCATTATAAAAGATATTTAGACATAATCTTACTTTATAACTCATAATATTATGCGATAGTAATTAAATTATGATTGGCTCATTGACTGCTTTTACACGGAAGAACATAAAAATTGATATGTATCTACTCGAATAAAACATGATGCTTTTAAAAATCTATTTTATTGTGAAATAGAATTGTCTCTATATCAGTTTCACTTTGATAGAAGAGTTAATTTCATCCTTATATCTAATATAATTAATACACATGAGCATTAGCGGTGGGCATTAGTTTAGAATGTGGTTAACCGAACTGATTTTTTTTTTTTTTTTGTTAACCACAAATTTTTGTTAAAAAACCTCAGCTAACAATGTGTTTTGGTTTAGAAACACAATTAATTCATAGTTAACCATAAAAATAAACTTAGATATCTTTTTGTATGCATTTTGGTTAGAATACTAAATGGTACACCTAGTTTTAATTTAATGTATTGCACAATATATTTATTAAAAAATTATTATTTTTATTTAAAATTAAAGATAGACAAATTAAATAAAAAAACCATGCATATAATATGTAGGACTAATTAAATTAATTATAATTATATTATATTTTAATAGTTGAACTAGGTAAACATTAAAATATGTGTTAAATTAAAAGATATACTAATCTTTTTTTTTTTATTAATTTGATTTGGTTTTGTTAATTCAATGTTAACCAAATTGAATAATTAATCAAATTAATTGATTTGAAAATTTGGGTTTTGTTCAATAATTTGGTTAAGAAGATATAATTAACCATATAGTGCTCTCCGGGTCACACATGTAGATTTGATACTGCGTTGGCCTAAACCTCACTAGGCTAGTCCTTATTCCCTTCAGATAGGGGTGGGGGGGCAAGACGTTTATACCCACTTTTGACCTCAACGTCATTTTCCATTACATAATCATTGAGGGTAGAAGAGGTTTGATATCTCACTCTCCTTCTCTTACATGCATTTTACAATAATTCAACTAAGTCCTCGGTGGTTTATCTTCATCTTTGACTTTACATTAGCATAATTTCCTTATCAAGTATGTATATAACTAATATAAGTCAGTCCATGCATTTATTTATTCGTATCGATTTTTATTCCATTATTAGATCCCCAATCTTCTTACTTTATGATATGGATGTATGGAATTTTCCATCGAATTTAATTAGAGATCTGTCATAAATGGTATAATGTAATGATCACTTTTAACTTTATATTATTTGTTTTAACTGTAATTTTATTCTATTTAAAGATATATATATATATTTTTAAATGTACTAAAAATCAGCAATTCAAATAAAATATATTATTAATTAAAAGTTAAAAATTAATAAAAACTATAAAATTTAGAAGGTTAACTACAAATAATCTTCTTCAAAAATAACAAGTTTGAAGTCGCAACTTTTCTAATTTTGTAGATATGAATTAGAAGAGTTTTAATTAAGATCTTTTTAGAAGTTGGTCAACAAACACTTAGCTGGTCAAAGTGGTCACTTTGGACGCCTCCACCTCCACAAACATCTCAATTAATTTCTAATACAAAAGTTATTATTCCTTGAGTTTCAAATGTAAACTAATTAAACTTTTGTTGTTAATTAATTAGTATATTTAATTTATTCTCAATATATCAATCATGGAGGTCTTTAATTAAATTGCCTATGACAGAGACGTGATACAAAAAAATAAAAATAAAAAGGAGGGGAAGGGGGTTGGGGAGTCAAAGTAAAAGTCACCAAACAAAAGTTGCACGAGGGAATATCAAAATAATTGAAAAAAATGCCCCAAAATTGAATATAATAATCTCCAATAGGGAGAGATGTGTTCAATGCATCTGTTTTTTCACTCAACCTCCCCTAAAATTAAGCAGGGTCTGTTGGAATTGACCAGAAATGTATGATTAAAGACCAAGATTACGTGTAAGCAAAGCTTACTTCACTTTATTGTCCATTTGTCGTAAGTTAATTTTTTTTTTTTTTTTTTTTTTTCAGTTTCAATATGTTGTTGACACATATATTGAGAAGATTATAATGCGGACATTCTTGAATAATCAAGTTGTTCTAATTTCCTACCAGGTCGATTATGATTGTCATGACACAACCATGCACCGTCCTAAACCGACAAATTACCATCACCTTAATTTGATGAGATCAAATTTACTACTAAATAACCAAGTTTTTGATATTGGTTATTGTTTAATTATATCTTTTTGCTCCTTCTAATCTCATTTCGTTGTCTTAATATGATTTCTATATAGTTTGACTTAATTTTTTCTATACCCTAAAAAATAAAAATAAAAACAAAATGGTTAACGTAAAACCAATAAGCAAGAATTAAGAATTAAAATTTTTTTTGATTATCTTTTTATTTACTATATATATAAAAATATTGAATCAAATTACACGTGAAAGGTCTTTTTTTTTAATAAATCAAATTTATTACTTTAGAATACAAAGGATACTTCCACCCTTAAATACCTCTCAACATAGTTACATATATTTTACTTGTGTAAAAGTTAATTGAATTTGTATTTTTCCATCAAAATATACATTTGGGTGCATTTGGGCTGAATTGTTTTTATAGTGCTTTATTCATAGTCATACACTATTAAAAAGGTTAATTTATTATCTATTTTTAGTAATTATAAGATTTTAAAAAAAAATTTAAAAATAATTATCTAACTCTAGCACAATATTCTTTGAAAAGATAACAAAAAAATACACAGTTACCACAATCACAGACTCCGAAGCAATCCTTATAGTACTCTCATAATTAATGCTTTAAGGGGAAAAAAATCAAAGAGAAATTAATCTATAGAGCTAATGAGTTTTGGATGATATATCATGCACATGCATCAAGGAGAATAAAGGAAGATGGGAGGCTTTTGATCTTGAGTTATAAACATCAATCACATTCACACACCTAATATATCTGTCTCTTTTTTTGCCCCCTCTATGATTGAATAACATGTTCATGTCACATAAAAAAGCACTACTATGAGCCTTACCATATGCAATACCCCCACCATTGAAAAAGATCCATCTTGAGACTCGGGAGAAGAAGAGTAATTTTCAAAAAAAGAAACTATGCCCCCCTCCCCCCCTTCTATCTCTACACACTTTTTTTAACTAAAACCAACGAGCCTTTACATTTTAGCATGATAGCATTCGGTGCAAAGGCTGGTGTATCTATACTTATTGATCATGGTGGTCCTTGTGTACTTGATGATCTTGAAAAGGCATGGAGTGGAAAGTCGTAAAGGAAAAAAATTGGGGTAGGGATTGACTGAAATTATATGTAAAGTTTGTATCATAATAAAACTTGATGATACAAATGCAATTGGATGCTTTGTGAGGGTCCTCACACACGTGCATTTCTGTAAATTCAATTCTTGCACGTCTTCCTGAAATCCCATCTTCAACATTTTTATTTTCATTTTTTAGCCCATCAAAAAAATGCAACCAGTGGTCCAGGCTCAACTCTCAATTTTGAGTCATTTTGGTCCTTAAAAGATTTTTTTGTTATGTATCAGTCCTTAAACTTGTTTTGCATCTCTGTTTTGGTCCTTCCATTAATGGCCTAATCCTACGAGGCATTCCTAATATTACTTGGAAATGCAAAACATGAATAAACTCTATTTTACTGGAACATACGTATTTTAAGGTTGTGGAAAATCTGAACATTTGTTTTCCTTAAAAAATAGCTTTACCCTATCTAACTTTTTGAAACAACAGTACAACACTTCCCTGCATCCACCTGCTATTCATAATTTTTTGTAAATGAGTTTAAAGTAAGCCTTATTCCTTTATATTAATACATTTTTCTTTGCTAATCCAAAGAAAAAAAAAAAAATCCCTGCATCCACGGCAACATACCTCACCCCGTGTATCTGGTATGAATTATATCTTAATTATATTCATAATAGTACAGTTCTTTATAACATTGTGAAAATAAACACTTAAGTTTCGATAATAAAATTTACATTTAATTTAAAATTAATTAATAATAAATAAAATAATTTTTATTATAGTTTAAATTAAATATTTTTTTATTATATTTTTGATATGAAAATTTTTCATTTAACAATAATATTATATATTTTCTTTATCATCGGGAAGAAGCATATCCTTTTGGTTGATGTTAATTTTAAACCATATTTTTGGGGTATCGAACCTCATTTCTTGCTCCATTTTCGTACTTTGAGGAAAACATGGCTGTTTCAGAAAATGAAAGTGATATATAAATGATGAATGGGACAAGCATTGTTTGTAGCGAATATTCAAGTGATGCACAATGAGGTTATGCCGCGCGTGTAGGGTAGGTCCACAGCCTATCCAATTGGCTAAAGTTTGATATTCTTGAATATTTACCCTCTATGGAGGAGAGTACTTGTTTTCTACACGGAATTAATTATTTTTGGTGAAAGAGGACAACACCTGTTTATAAGTCAATTCAACTCTTAAGTTATACTTGTTAAAAAAAAAATGTTGGAAAAAAATATTTTCACCAAATGCAA